ACTTTTATAACACAAGGGAGGTTGGGGGAGAAGGGTTAGCACCTTCAAAAATGAGAGAAGAGAAACTCAATTAATGATTTCATAATTTTGAAGCACTTACGGTTATTGTTCGTGGATAATGACTGATGTCATTTACCGACGGTATTATAGACATATATATCTACTGGTAAATTGCGAAGTCCATTATCAACGACTATAGCTCGTTGACAACTATCCAATCTCTAATCCGTCAATAAATGTGTTTTACTGACGAATCATCAGTCGTCGTTAATAATGTGTCGGTGATTTTAATAATTTTTGTAGTGATAATTTCACAATTAACATAAAATTTCAGAATCAAAACATCTATAAATTTTGCAAACATTAATGAAAAAGCTGATAAAGTTAAAAAGTATAAAAAAAAAATCAAATTTAAAAATATTTCAAATGTTTATTTGCTAATTTTTTTCTTATACACCGAATATTATATTGAAGGAAATCACACAAAAAAAATATATTCAACTAATAATTCAAATTTAAAAATAAATATTTTTAGCTTTTAAACTTGAATAAAATTTATAACAATAACATTAAATTGTAAGAATAATTGAAAGATCTTTATAGTGATGGTAATATTACTCTTATAAGAAAGAATTAAAAGATAAAAAAATTAAGTATATAACAAATCATCAAAATAATATTTTACGTAATAAAAATAAACAATAAATAAAAATATTAAAACAAGTAAAAAAGAGAAAACTTGATATATAACATCATAGAAAAAAATATAATTAAATATATGATAACACGAAAAATCTTAAAAATCTAAAAAATTTACTAAATATTAGAATACTTAAACTATTTAAAGATAATAAAAATTGTTTTAGCAAAACATAATTCTTTTATATAAAATAAATAAGATCAAAGATAATAGAGCGAGATAAGTTTTTATATCTAATAAATGAATGACTTACTCAATTAGACATTTGAAAGAAATTTTTTGATGTTAAAAAAAATAAATAATAAACAAAAATATTAAAAATAAGTAAAAATGATGTCATGTGATACCTAAAATATATTTTATTCACTCATAATCACAGAAAAAAAAAAGAAAAAAGGTAATCAAAATTTTGAGAAGAAAAATATCTCGATGATATGTTTGAATTTTTTTGAATTAGCCAAACAATTATAAAAGAGAAGAATAATTGAAAAAAAATTGAATATTATTCATACTATTATATTTGAAGAATTTTTGTGAATATTGTTGATATATATATATATATATATATATATATATATATATTATGTTTATTTTGAAATATTACAAATTATATTAATAATTTATAATTTTATAAATATATTTAATCATAAATTATAAATTTTAACTTTTGAAAATTCTTTATAAAACTATTAAAATTCAATAAATAACTCGTATTTAATAGACTTAGATATCTTTTATTATTCAATTTGAAGTCAACATTATTTTTGAACTCTAGAGATAGTTTGAATGTCATAAAGTTGAATTTAGGCCACGTTTAACTCTTACTGACTAGAGCTAAATCTTCACAAATTAAAGAGTAAAAGAGGAAAGTTTTCAAAATAATTTAATTTGAGAGACTGAAAATCATTTTTACGAAAATATGAGAAAATATACTATAACTAAACCTTGTCAACAATCTAAATGTTATACGTAAAAATAATTTGCAAGAAGCTCATCAGTTAACGAGTCAATCTAAAGTCCGTAAATGAAACAAACGTCATTTCTCTTACACTTACATAATTTCAACTTTGATCCCCATAAAATTTTTATTTATATTTTTGAATGTATAATTTAGAATATATATTTTTTTAATTTTAGATTATACATTACATAATACAAAATAGAATATATAATTCATATTACATATTATGAAATATAAAAAATTATACTTTAGATTGTATATTTTAAAATAATAAATCAAAATTGTATTATATTTCGGATTTTACAATACAAGAATTTATAGAAATTTAATATAGAAGTGCATGAACAAACTGTTTTAATAAAATTATGAATCACGACTTTTGTACATTTGTAATGCAAACATTCTTTGGTTTGAAAATGGACGAGACGTGGTGGTTTAACTTTTTTATTCTCCAAGTAAAAAAACTCATCTTTAATTTTGTTTCTATAAATTGTTGCGTCTTATCTATATCAAATAATAAATATATACTATGTTTTCTTCAAATGTTAATCACAACAAAAGCTATTAAAGATTCAATGTTTTCCTGTTCTCTCTCAAGTCAAATGTCAATGCAGAACTTGTATTAAATATTAAATAATACAAGAAAATTAATATAGGGTTTTAATGCGGCAAATAATAATTAGATAAATATTAAATAATTATTAAAAAGAGTAAAAACAATTAAATACATACCTTATAAATAATTTACCAAAAGATAAAAGAAAATTTAATACAATTTTGTTTAGTTTAGTTAATAAGTTGAAGATATTTTAATAATTTTAAATAAATGAATATGAAAACAAGAGCAAATATTGAGCTGACAGTCATTGTTACAAAAGGTATGTAGATGAAGAAATAAATAAATATATACCTAATCATTCATATTTAAGAAAATAAAATATTCTCATATTAATATTACTTAATTCAAAGTTTTTACTTTTACCTATCTCTGCCAATTGTTACATCCACAAGTACTTGTTTCATAATAAAGAAATCCATCGTACAAAATTAAAATCATACAGTTTGTTTTCATTCTAGTACATTATCCATATGATATTTATATATAAACAAAACAATTATGCCACATAAAGATAAACGATCGTGATTAAATTTTTATATCAAGAATACTCAAATATTACTGACCAATATATATCAAGGGGATAACATAAAATAAAATCGTATACATCATAATTAACGTCTTAAAATAAATTTAAAAAATAAATAAAATGGTTTATTAATGATAAAAGTCTAAAGTAATCTAAGTTAAATCCTAACAAACTATCTCCACGGCAAGTCTCTTGGTAATACTTCCACACGTGGTTGGACCAAATGTTTTCTCCGAAACATCAATTGAACATGCTTTTTCGCCAACACATTCCTATAAAACCAAACGTTTAAGTTATTATAATAAACATGGTTATCACCTAAAACAAATCTTAATGAAAATAATGCAACACTGAAAGAGAATTCTACCTTTTGCAAGACGGACAATGCATTCATTTTGCTTTCACAACTGCCTTTAGTGAATGCTCCACACACTCCTTTGGGATCACCAAAACTTGCAAATTTAATTGCAGAAATTGAACGATCTTGGCAAGACAATTCCAAGGTCTTGTTCTCGTATGCATTTCCACATGCTCTACCAACAACGATAGTTTGGAAGTTCACCATAGAAGGATTACCACCCATCTCCGCAAACAAAACCAAGGTATTTTCACCGTCGTCACGTAAAAAGGAGCGAGGAACATGGTACCTGAACGATCGAAAACATAACTAAATTAATATATAAATAATGATATCATAACATATTTTACATTCATTTGATACAGTA